ACTTTTCTTACAGTGATCAAAAAGACAAGTCTAACATTTATCATCGCACCCACCTCAAGATGCAGGAAACATATGTAGTTGTGGTTACATAGATGTACATGTTTACATTTCCAACATATAAAAAACCCCTTTTTTTTTTACATTCAGTTTAATATGTGAAATTTCATATGACTTGAGCACATGTATTTTCACTGAAACACAAAAATAACTATTAAATTTAAAAATGTATATTTACCAAGTGTTGGCATAATCACCATTTATGCTACAAAATCTGGAAATACTGATATTCTGGTATCATGAGTTAAATCTAAAATATTGATATGTTTAGTTCTGCCCTCTTTGAATTTGCAACTGACTTTTTGGGCCCTTTCTCGGTAGTCATGAAACAGATCTTCCACACATTAATAAGCCATGAAGACAGTTCAGTATATTAAATAAGATTGAAATACAACTTTTCGCCAACCTATTGCATGTCTGTGTTTTCCCTGAAATGTCATGTTTTTTGTGCAACTCTTACCTTAACAGAATTTGGAGTCTTGGCCAGGTTTCTTTAAGATTTCCTTATATGCAAAAATTCAGCCAATGAGATTTGTCCCCATTCCTTCCATCTTATTGTTCACAGGTATGAACTTCAAGTCAGAGTTACTGCTCATTCATGTGGCAAATTAAACTTTCCTTGACACATCTAAAATGGCCCATGCTTTCCAGATAGAAACATGGAATGTGTGGTTATGAAAGGTACAAGCAAAGCCAAATGAACAGTTTGTTCGAAATGGACTTTTTAATATACATTATTCTTTTCTCATAGAAAGTAAGTCTATCACAAAGTGTTACAAATATATGCCTGCGTGTTTTAGTGAATAATGATAATGTTCCCGCTGAATTCTGTAATAGAATGAAACAAATATACAAATTTAGAGAAGATTTTAGTCACTGTATTTTGAAGGTTTTTTTCTCTGTAGTAGGTCTAGCTTGGTATCAATAAAAAAACCAAGACCTTCCAGTAACTCTGGCAATCACAACTTTGGTAAAATATGCTAGAGACAGATCTCTTCAACAGTATTTTAGCTAATCTGTCTGGAAGTTGTCCATGAACTTCTGAACAGGTTGCTGTACAATGTTGTAAAAGTGCATGAAAGATTATTTCTGCAAAGCCTCTCCTTGGATCATGGGTCTTTGTGTTTTGTTTGAAGTACTAAAGAGGCTACTTATTCCATGAAATGTCCCTTTAACCATGCCAAAATTCATTCTTCAGAGAGAAAAAAAAATAGAAAACTCTGGATATTCTGATAACACCAAGGGACCATGACTGAAAATACACTTTTAGTGTATGATTTTTATTTATGCATAGTTTTAAGTCCTCACGTGACTACCATCACTATCTATGTGAATCTGTGTGGTTTCAAATACTAAGTTTAACAAAAATTTGGGACTTCTGTTCAAAGACTCTGAAGAGCAAAGATGCAGACTTTGTCTGTGGGAACTGACATCTTGCAAAATAGGTTTTTCTGAAAAGGCAGAGAAAAGCTGCTGATTTTCTACCAACCTTTCCCAGCCAAGAATCACTTCCCCTGCTTTCGGGGACAGCTTTAATTTGCAAGTGAGCATCTTTGAGGATCCTTTTGGTGGATGCTGTTTAGGAAATATGCTCTTCTCTTGTCATAATGGGTGTTACCAACTTTTTTGGTACCTGCTGCAGTTATATTTCAGGACAAAAGAGACAACACGTATATTTTCTGCTCACTATACTGACTTTTAGCATCTGAGGGATCCATCACTTTACCAAAGGTAATTATGCAGTGTAGTTTGGTGTTGTTTTCTTAAACAGCATTTTGTGGGTGGCTAACAGTTTATAAAAGTTTTTGAGCTTCTTTATTTTCCTAAAGGAATTGTGCATCTTGGGTTGAAAATATTATGTACAAATCTTAAACTTCTTGAGTATTTAGTAAATAGGTATTGATTTATTGATTGATTTGGGTTGGTCCATCTACATATAGTTGCCCTTTCAGTGTTAAACTCTATGGGAAAATGAACTAATAGATTGATGGAGTTTTGATGGGGTTTTTTCCTTGAAGTACTTAGAAGTGGAAGAGAGCAAAGTGTGTTTCCAACAAGTATTTCCTGTCGTGATGAGTTGTCCACAAGGCTAAAGCATCCTCTATGGCCATTGATTCCAAATGAAGTTACTTAAAGTGTGAATAAGACATACCAGACCTGGATTTTTTACTTAATCCATGTTATCACATACAGACCTTCAAAACTGACATTGACTAATAATCACACTATTGTACTTAGAGTGATAGTTATATATCTTCAGGTTTGGAATATGTTCTTTCATAAGTTTATCCATATGCACAAACCCTTAACTTCTGTGTAGTTCATTAGTTTAATTTTTTTCTCCACAAGCTGAGGTGGTAGAAGCTTTTCATTTTCACTGCATCTTCCTCTCTACTCTTTTCAGGAGGCAAGGTCATAGTGTACAGCTTGCTTCTGAGTCAAAGGAGCTTTGTCAGTCCTGCCTGAACTCCTAGTCCTTTGTCTCTTATTTATGAAACTGTTTTGCTTCTCAGTCTTAGAAAGGAAATTTGTTCTCCATCCTGTCCTCATGGAGTTGCATGTTGCTCTTAGAAGGCTTTGCCAGCAGTTTCACTGGTATTATTGGTATTCTTCTTTCCTTACAGGCTTTCTTAGTACCTCAAGCAGGTTTAAATTGACTTGATAGTAGATGTAATACACTCTGAATGAAAGAAATGTGTGCTGTAAATATGGACAGGGTGCAGATATTTATATATATAATTATACACGCACATATATAGATACTCGCACATAAGTTTAAAAAATAAGGTTGACTTTTAACTCAGAATTTAAAGAACATAACTGTGGAATCAAAATCATCTATGTAATGCAATATTAAGATAACCTATAATTGCATTGGTTTAGAAGAATGCATTATTGACATGGATATGCTCCCATTTGATGAGCTGTCAGGGTTTTCTGGAAAATTTTTCAGAAATGTGCTGATGCATTGCAGAAAATATAAGAATATATAGGAATCAAATATCTGAAAGAAAACTCACTGACTTTTGCAGTTGTTTCGGCAGCATATGGTATGTGATGTTTTATCCTGTGTTTACATGTGAGGTGATTATAATCAACAACTTTTTCTGAAGGAGTTAGAAATCAGAATGCAAACCTGTTGAGTTAATTGTTTGCAACTATGTTTATTAGTTTTTAACACATTGCAAGACACACCTTTAGAGAAGGGAAGGAGTAAGAAAATTTAACAACCCCCAGCTGCCAGCTCTGAAGAGCCAGAGAACTCTTCTTTAAGAGCTGAAGAGCAACTACACTGCATCAGACCAAGGTTCCATCTACAGCACTATGTTGTCTCTCACAGGGACTAACAGACAATGCTCAGAGGAAAAAAATAGAGTGAGCATGTAGAGCTGCCTCCTGCATGTATCATCTTTATTATTTGTAGTTTAGGGACTTGCTGATTTCTCTGTGATTAGTAGAGCTGAAGAAAAATGTTTTGGTGATTTAGTCCAATCTTTGCTGAAGCCTGTGCGACATTTTAATGTCCAAAGCAAAGAGTTGCACAGCTTAACTACAATTTGGTTGAAGAATCATTTCCTCTTGCTAGGTTTGAATCTGCCATGTCTGAACTTCTGTTGATAACCCCTACCTTCTGACAACTCATTGCTGTTGTCAGCATTCAGATATTTTGACAGTGGGCACTAGGAGTTCCTGAGATAAATGAATGAGGTGTTTTATCATAATAATTGTTTTGATTTGTAACATCTGGAATCTAATATCTATATATATTCCATCTTTGCATGTTTTGGGAGCAGATGTTCACTGTAGCTCCTTTCAACATGTTTCTGTTTTTGTCTTTGACATCCTACTGTAATGCATTAAAATAAGCAATTTGGCAACTACCCAGGCCTTTAAATAAACTTTAATAAGTTGGAGAATCATTGCATCTCTTGTGGTGCCAGACCAGCAGCTATCTATGTACTTTTCCTTTTACACAAGGGTTGTTTTCCCTCTTTTTATTTATTAAAATTGTAGCTAATTTATCATTTCTTCTTGAAGCAAAATGCACAAGAATAATTTTTGGTTTTCAATCTGTTGAACAAAATTAGTGGGTCCTTAAGTATAGTAAATCCAGTCCAAAATTTCAGGTGATTAAGCTTACCTACTGTTTCGTGGAAATAAGGTGGAAGTCAATGGTGGCAGTGTGGTGAATTAAAGAAAGGTATTTGAACTGGACTTTGATTAGGCATTTCTGCAAAGAGAAATAGGTGTGAAAAAGATGAGTCTGAATGCCATTTCATGCTATGTCATTAATAGCTATTTTGTCTGTTCTGTTGAAGCTTCTTGTACAGTCATAATTATAACAGAAAAGTTTGCTATTACCAATGTGGGGTTATGTCTTTTCATAGTAAATGAAGATTTTATTACACTGATTTAAGCACAGGTTCTCCAGCATACCCTTTTCAAAGCATAGTCTTGTGTTCAGTATAGTCATATCCTCAGAATAAAAGCTGGACCCTGGTATAACAGTATCCTTCCACGAGTTTCTAACCACAATAGAGTTTTCTGTTTGCTTTTAACAAGGTCCTGTGTGAAATATTTCTTAATTCTTCCAGTGTATGGATGGCCCAATTCCTGACATCTGCAGTCTTTAAAGAGATTAAATATGCTTGCAAAAAATCATCTGCCAAACTAAAAAGTATGAAAAGGTAGTGTAAATAGTAATAAGTATGATCAGCTAATAATGGATTAAGTCAAGGTGTCAAGAAATCTTTCCATTCTCGATAGTTTAAATTCTATAGAATCTAGAATATATCTAAAGTGTACTCTTGTATTACCAAAGACAGTTGCTATGTAATTAAGAATTACTGTTAATTGTATTTTGGTTCTATACACAGTTGATAATGGACAATATGTTCTGCCTTAAATGTTAATTATCTTCCTTTTTTTTTTTAATTGTATAGTGTTTTGGCTGGATACAATGGTACTATCTTTGCATATGGTCAGACAGGCAGTGGCAAAACTTTTACCATCACAGGAGGAGCAGAACGTTACAGTGATCGAGGCATCATTCCCAGGACTTTATCTTATATTTTCGATCAATTGCAGAAGGTATGGAGCATTATTTTTTGTTTATTTTTAATGTCTGATTTCAAATACTTAACTATTGCTAATGGTTGTTTTTATAATAGTGTTAGTGGAAGTCCTAAAACTAATACTTAGCAAAATATCTAACTTGACACAGTATTTACTGTGTGCAAGAATATATTTGTAGTTGTTTTGGCTACCTAGTTTATTGCAATAGTCTGAAAAATTATGGGCATCATTGTGGGGGGCTTGTGTAGTTTTAAAACCCAGGCTATTTTTAGCTCGTGGAGCATAACTTCAGATCACACAAGTGGTTCTCCTTGTCTAACACTTATATCAGCTCCACTCTGGTTTTGTATTGCATGCATTGCATTTCATTTTGACTTATGTGATGAAATGAGTCAATAAGTCAAAGGATGTGCCAGAGTAACCACATTGATTTTTTGTTATGTTTATTATGTTTGTGAGAAATTTCATTTTCTTTTAGTGTCTGAAATACTTACATGAGTCAACACAGTCAATTATTCCAGTACTTTTATAATTATAGGAGAAAGTGAAGAGAGGAAGAGAGGAGTCTGGTGTAATTTATGTTTTGTCTCTTCATTTATTTCACCAGGCCTATGACTCATTAATCTTCACATTTTAGCAAAGCTATTTAATTAAGCCAATTTAAATATGATTTGTCATTAACATAAATCATTCCACTGTACATTTATACTCTTTCAGTCGTGTGCTACAGAGTACCAATCTGTTTGCATGAGGGCATATGGCTCAGTCCCATTAATATTCCCTGTCTCAGAAAGGGTTAACAAGAGTGAATAATCACTTTGGCTCTTTGGAAGTATGGCTTTGGCAGGTAAATGTACACAGCATGTGGCAGATGCACAAAAACTTGCCATTGTGGGAATGGAAATGAAAGAAACATGCATGATCACGTTATCTTAGACTTTCTGCTGCACTCACACAACCTCCATGGAGGACTTTTTTTGTGGCAAGTGGAGCAGATTTATTGTGTAATTGCCAGCAACAAACGGGATTAACACACCGACATTCTTTTCTAATGTTAATTGTGTAATAAAAACAAAATAGGATGAGAAATAACTAGTATGTTTGTCAAATTCTCAGCAGAAAAATATGAATGTTTCCCACTTCAGACTGGGTTTTGGATCAAAAGCTATACTTAGTTACACCTATAGGGCTATTTCAATTTTCCTCCTTCCAAAACATTGTTTCATATAATTTTTTTTCTTAGTGCATTTTAAAGGACCTCTTCTTAATGTTTTGTCTTTCCTCTTGTCTTTTGTTTTGTATCTTTCACCCTGTTGCACTTCTTTATACCTACAACTGTGGTTTGGAAGGCACTCAAATAGTGGAGAAGAATCATTTGCCTTCTAACCCTAAGTAGGATGAAACAGGAGAAAGTGAAATCAGGGACATGAAATACAAGACTTGTTAAACTCTTACTTGGACAAAGACAGCACAGTTTGAAACCAAAGAAACAAAACTGGAGAACTAAATGAGAAGCAAATAAAGCCCTTTGTTTTTAATAGCATCTCCTTTTAATTTAGAAATTCTCCTATTTCCATGGCATCCTGTTTGAACTGTTCCTTACTACATTTTTTCCATCCATCTGTAGTGCATCTTTCAAATTATGTCCCTTGAAATAGTGAACTGTCATAACCAATTAAAAAAACATGGGAAATAATTATTACATGAAAGTGACTAGTTATATCTCAAAGTATTTTGCAAAAAAAAACTGCAGTGGATTGAATTATTAAATTTCAACTGTGATATGAGTGCTTTCACAGTGGTTTTGTCTGCTGAAAAGAAGTGATTGATTTTTTTTATTCTCTTTTATTTCTTTAATTTTGGAAATCATAGCCCACTATTTTGAGGTTTATGTTGTTTGGATTTGGCTTTGGGGCAGGGGAAAACTGTCGGCAAAACTCAGTTGTGTTAAATTACTTTTTGGCAATGCAATTTACCAAAAGAATTGTGATTGCAGAGAACAGCTGACATCATATACAGTGCTCTAATGTTATGAAGAGAATGAAAAGCAGTATGTCACTGATGTTTCTAAATGAAGGAAATCTTATTTTTGTTGCTGTTTTTACTTTTGCTTTATTTTTTTTAAGCACAGTCTTTCTACCCATAATAGGAGCATTTACCTCATTATAATAACTTTCTTTTTTTAGTGCAGAAGTGAAAAATGTCGTGTTGCATAGTTCTGTAAGCAGCTCCCATATGTTCTAAATATATACAGACTTTTTAAAGTATACAGAATCAATTAAAAATCCCGGACTAAACTCATGGTAATTGTGGGGTTTTGTGGGGGATTTTTGTTTTAGTGAGTGTTGTGTGTGTGTGTCTATTTCAGTTGGGAGTTTTTGTGGATTTTTTTTTATCCCTTTCTTCTTCTTGGGTCTTTATGCATATGGTAACACATAACATGAAAGTATAAGAAATTGAACATGTGCACCATACCCAGGAAAAGAGACCAAGTGTGAAAGTGACCTGAAAGCCATAGAAATAAATTTAGCTTCTAATCTACCTCTGACTTCTGTTTATAATACTATTTATTTTTCTTATCCAGGATAGCAGTAAAGTGTACACAACTCATGTTTCCTACTTAGAAATCTACAATGAATGTGGTTATGATCTGCTGGACCCAAGACATGAGGCCTCCAGAATGGAAGATTTGCCGTAAGTAATAAATACAAAAAATCATCAAAACCCAGAGGAATCATTTTCATATACCCTGTTACATTGTTTAGGGACTTTTTGAAGCTGTGCTACTGATCTCAGTGTTAATTTAATCAGAATACTTTGTTTTCATGATTTTGTCAACAGTGCCTAAATGTTCTGTTATTTTATGTGTATGGAGGGTAGGGAGTAACTGAAGGTGAAAGGATTAAAAGTGTTTGTTGCTATTATGCAGAAGAGATCTCTTGCAGCCACTGACAAGGAGAAAGTGCACTTGTTTTTCTCAGGGCAGCCTGTCTCTTTGTATGGCATGTATGACTGTGTGTGGCAGAGACATGTAACAGGTGGTATTTTCTTGCAGCGGTAATGAGAAAATCTCCCTGCTTCAATTTGGACATTTTCCTTCAAGGATTATTTTTCTAGAATATGCAATTATGAAATAACGTAAGATACGGCTAGAAAATAGGCCACAAGTAGCTAAAAGAATAGTATTTTTCCTTCAGAAAAGATGGTTGTTATAATCATAGTCATTGATCAGACACTAGCACCTAATAATTTGGAGAAGGGTAGTGAACAAAGGTTTGCAGATCATGAATGCTCCAGCTGGTGAAGTTAGATTTCTAATTTATAGGAAATCCAAATCCTAGTCTCCAAGTCTGAAATAATGGTTTATAGTCTGTGTTATTTTTAAGCAGCTAAGCAAACACCAAATAGGTGTGAATAAGTGAGTTGTTTACTGGATTTGCAAGTGCCCTGAAATAATGCTGGGACCATGAATTTTATCACTCAACATGACAGTAACAGACATTTATTGCAGTAAATAGCAATGAAATCACTGCTGATACAAAAGCAGGAAACATGCTGAAAATTTTCAATGGGACAATAAAAAAAATCAGTAGAACTTTATTTTGAAATAACTAATTTTGTTATTCACATATTATTAAACCATTTTATTTATGAAAAAAATTTTACAACACAATATTTTATTGTGTTTAAATGGAGCTTTATTTTTCGACACAGTATGGGGTATCTAGGATATGTATGTAAAAAATAATTTTCAAGATTGATCTTTATGAAAGGATCTAGTCTAGAAATTAGGAAGGCAGCAGACAAATGCAAAGTGTGGGACTGGGCTGTGAATTGGTCTAATTGTTTCCATTTCTTTACCTGAAAAATGGAAGTAAAATTTATTGCTTTACGTCACATCGGTGCTATGATCACTGTGAGTCATTATCAGTGTCTTTCATTATGAAGTTTAGGATTCTAATCTAATTTATTATATGCTTCCTGTGGCATTCAGACAAAAATTTTAGTCAGAGGCTAGTTTGGATAATATAATTTAGTCCTGTATCCATTTTTGCATGGATGAAAAACAGTAAATTGTGTGTTACACTTTTTTTCTACTTATTAGATTTAATGCTATTAAGTTATTCAAGTTTATTGCATTATTAATTTCATTTATTAAGTTATTTGAAATATTTTATCTGAACTCATTCCATTTAACATTTTATAAGAAGAAATTTATTCAGTTCAAAGGAACTGAATTTTAATAATATAATTGCAACTTTGAAACAGATATTTGAGGTCATATGCTCTGGAAAATATAATGTTTTAAAACTAGGTACTGAATATTTGCTAATAATTGTGATTTTCAGAATCCTTCAATTAAGTTTATGTATGGTGATTCAATGAAACTAAAGAATAACTCTGTGTTGTGTGTAAGGTTATTTTAAAATGTAAAAGTATTTAGTTAATAAAATACGTTTTGTTTATTTTTTAATATTGTAGTCTGGGGATTCAAAACTTAAAAATTTCTAGTGTCATTCTGATCTAAAAAGGGAGTAAAAGTTGCAGGAATGGGTAGTTGCATTATTAATTATATTTCAATTGCTTGAATCATTTTCTTAAAAGATCAAGTAGAGCTTACTTGTAGGTAAATAATTCGTGTATTTTAAAATTTGTCAGGTGTTTATGATTTAATATATATATTTTTGGAGAATTTTATGGGCTTAAAACCTTTAGTATTTTAGTGACAGTAAGCAAAATACAAAATAATAACTAAGTTTGCTTGAAAGCCTGTATTTAATGAGAATATTAAAAAGAATTTGGTTTTTTGTACTTTAAAGGTGTTGTATTATATATCATTTTCTGTTGAACTCCACAGTGGATCATTTAAGCTTTGAGCACCTTTGGCTTTTTATGGCTTCAAACCCTATGTTCTTGGGTAAATATTAGCAGTCAGTGCTGATACTTTCCTAAGTATTTAAAATGAACAAGAAGAGTACTGAAGAAATGTGTCATTTTAGAAGAATAAGCAAAAAGATTAGTTAACCTCATATAATGTGCAGATTGTTCTGGAACAGTATTGCTATCCACATTCTTGCAAAAGAAGGGGATGTAATTTGAATGAAAGATGTACTTCTGATCAGCAACCTCTGCATTCTTATCTTTATGTTAGCAGCTCAATGTAAGGACTAAACACAGATGCATTCAGGTGATAGAATTTGTGAAAGGCTTGTGGATACACAACAGGATTGTTGATAGTAGATGAAAAATGAGACGTTAAAATTGTATTTGATGCTTAAGGCAAAGGGAATAATAAACATTTTTAAAACATTTTTTAAATTGTCCATTCCATCTAAACATTACATGATTAGACTTGGAATTTCAGCTCTTGAAGTCAAGGTTTTGTGTGTGCCCATACTCTGTATATTCTGTAGACTAGGAAATTTTTGTCTTAGCACTGCTTACTCATTTCATCCGAGTCTGCCAGATGAGAAAGGAAGAGGCTCTCACAAAAACAACCACTAGTTTTCTGGAAATAAATTCTTGACAAATGCATGAATATGGGCCATATAGCTGCACATTGACATATTCCTACACAGAATTATGAAGAAATTGAATTTAATATTGGCAATCTAATTGTGTTTGTAGCTGTAGAGAATTCCATGTTTCTACAAGGACATTATGATTGTTTTCAACACATAAAGGTATGAAATAATTGCTATAAAATAAAGCTGATAGAACGCTATTTAAATACTTACTGCAACCTTATGTTTTCATAAAAGTTTTGCAGGAGTGTTCAAATTAGGAATACTTTTCTAAAGCTCTTTATTTGCTGTGCATTTGTGAAAGAGCCTTTTATCTCCAACAGGTTCTTATGGGTAATTTATGTAACCCAATGTTACTGAATTTCACTTAGTTACAACCTACCAGTAAAACTCTTCCTAGCATGTTCTTATTTATCCAGAAGTAAGAAATTTTTGACACCATTATAGAACACAAATATAAAGACTGAAGTTATAGAACTATAGTCAAGAATGACTAGATTAATTCATAAGTAACCAATAAATTACTGCTTTACCTCTCTGATGGCATGTGAAGGCAAACTACAATTTTTCTGTTTTTCCTTAGAATGACAGTCTAAACTGCCGTAATTGAGGAGCTACTTGTCAGGGACCTCAGACAACCATTACTCCACAGTGATGTGGCCAGGGGAAAATAGAATCTAAATTTCAAGTCAACAAAAGGGATTCCCCATTTTTGTGTGAAGATTCTTTAAAGTCCTTTTTGAGAGGGAAAGGTTTAATTTTTAGTGTGATGCTCTCTGACTTTAAGGAAACCACAGTTTACGGTCAGAGCCAATTAACTTCAAACATCAGCAATGATGTCTATATCAATATATGTTAGCAACATGCAGAACTGTTATGTTCCATGGGGTCAATGTGGAAGAATTTCTCTTTAAAACAAAACCTGTTCCTGGATATTGGTGAATTACCTCAAATGAGTTTGTACTCTTCTCTACTGCCCTTCAAGGGCCTTAAGAGTTACCAAACTGCTGATATGGAAAGCTAAAACAACTACTAAAATAATTCCTGTTTTCCTTAACAAAGAAGGGTAAAAATAAAATAAGGCTAAAAGAATAATTTTAAACATATAGGAAATATATTGTATTCAGTCTGATTTTTTGATGCAAATAAACCTAATTCTCCTCTCCAGTCTCAGCAGTGTTAATGTCAGCCCCTTTTAATGGCTGTACCAACTATGTAGCTAGGAAACTGACCACCAACCATAAACCTTCAAGAACTGTACTTCCAGTGTGCTGAGAATTATCAGTATTTTAAAACTTCTAAGGCTAATAATATTAGTAGTTCACTTTTTTATATGAAGTACATTTTTTCAAAATTAAGAGTGTTCTTTTTGTTACTACTGAATACCAAAGGTTAAGAGAATACAACGTTTTGTAAAGCTAGACTTTGTTAATGAGGAGACAGCTAAAAACGGTTTTGAATAATTTCTTCTAAGATTATGATTTTTTTAATTACCGTTCAAATCAATTACATTTAAAATGCATACAAAACTTCAGCATATAAGATATATTGGTTATTCACATCCATGTTTCATGTTGATTTATTTCCTGAAGTAGTGTATAAAGTCCAGTGAATATTTTTAAAGTAACTTTTCCACAAGCATTTGATGAGTGAATGTCAAAATTTATTTAACAAATACTTCTTTTGTATGATTAATGGAATTGCCTGCAAATTCTAACAGATTTTGTATGTTTTGCTCAACCATGAACCACTGATCTCACTGGTTCAGTTTTGATTCCTTGTTCTACAGGGTGGGATGGGGGGGAGAGAGAGTGTGCACAGCTTTTTCCAGATGTCAGTGAGAAAGGTTTAGCAACAAATGGCTTGATAGGGTAACTGCTTTGGTAAGATAGAATAAGAGGAGGAAGACAGATGACAAGTAAATCTTGTGTCCCACCATCTGCTGGGTGCCCTGCATCCATGCAAAGTTGGACAGAGCCTGAATGATTTCCCCATTGCGCATTGCACAAGAGCAGTACAGGTCCTGGCCATGGAGAGAAGGTCTCCCTTTTGCTCTTTTGAGCCTTTGTGTAATTTTCTCACAAGAAAACAGCTTCATTCTAGAAGGCGTTCTCCTAGGACTCAATGAATTTATCTGGCAGCCAAGGGATCTGTGCAGCACAGCTCAGGCCTGAATGTCCTGCTGTGTGCATAGCACCTCACAGGCTTTGCCTGCTCATGGTCACTGTTACATTAATCATTAACCCCTAAATATGTAACAGTCTCCAGTCATGTCCATAACATCCAGAACAGCCAAAATGTGTTTTTGTTGTCTCAAAACAGAATCCATTGGAGACTGTGGGAAGGATTTCCTTTCACAATGTGTCAAGCAAACAGTCTGCATAAGCCCTTACTCATTTTATAGTTCTGCCATGTCTCATAAGGGAGATTATGCTCTAAATCTCTACTCAGATGGAAAATTAAATCTGTGTGCTGTTGTGGTGCTGGTAGCTGAATAACTTTGTGACCTTGCCTCTTGAATAAGTGTTGACTTTGTCCTCTGTTGTGGTATTCAGGGAGTTGTACTCCCTGAAGGATCATCTTTTTGGGATGATACATGAGATCATTATCCTGACAATTCTTTCCTAAAAGCTAAAGTTCCTTTGCAGTTTTACAAAACATTACCTATTTATATCCATTAATTTATTGTGTTCTTCTGAACAGACTCCAAGATGCATGCTTTGGCTCTACAGTCTCCTCACAATGGCATAGTATCGCTGTATCGTGCTCATGTACTGGCCTAGGACTTGTGTATCTTCATATGTTGTTTGTTTGCATCATTATGATTAATTTTTTAATGTTTATAAAGTTTTTGAGATTATTTTAGATTTCTTCAGTTCTAAGGCCTAGAGACAGATATAATAATAGGAAGCTTGACTTTTAAAATAGTAGTTCATTTTCCAAAACATTAAGGGGTTTTTTTTTATTATATATAGTACACAAATGAATGAGGTAGTATTAATTAATCAAAGAAATTTCTACGGTCAATGTTTGCCAGTAACAAGAATTTAATAAATGAAAGCATTCAGGCCCTCTTGCATTGGTGGCAGCTCACTTAATGCAGGAAAGGGCACAAGTTAATAAGGGTATACTGTAATTAGAACTGCTCTGGGCTTTCATGTGTGATGCACACACAGATGCAGACAGAATACAATCTGACATCAGCAAAATGCGAGACCAGAATTATACTCTGGGGAATGGGGAAGCTGAGTTTTGAGATTATGTGAGAAATGTCTTATACCACCACGCAAAAATAAGGTGGCAGGCAATCATACTTGGAAGAGCAATTTTTATGACTACCAAAGAAGCTTTGTGTGTACTTTTATGTGTCATTTTTCTTGAAAAGAGTGAGTGCATTGCAATGTGTTAAAATTATTTCTCTATATTCATTTGAATATTTGGACCATCAGACTATGAACTAGTCCCAAAATGTCCAAGAGTAATACTATGGAATGCTGCTTTGATGCTTGACTTCATTCTCAGTTTGGGGTGGGGGGTAAGGGCGGGAAATAAAGTCAAGCAGAACAAAACACAATCTCTCTGGTTTTGAAGCAGCTTGGAGTAATTAACCTGCAAGAACTACCTACTGATAAAAACTCAAGCCCCATACTCCCTCTTGTGGTTTATCTTGAAGAACATGAAAGAATATTTTTATATATGTATATGCATACATATAGGTGTATATGTATATACAGAAAATGTTATCTTCAATTACACAGAAAATAAAGTTTTAGTTTAAATAAAAACAACTTCCAGCTTTTAAAAAAGCTCTAATTTGTTTTAAATTGTATCAGATCATGTAATTCACTCCGAAGGACATGTTATTTATCCTCAGATTTAGTGTACTGTTTTAACAGATTCTTCTCTCTGAGTTTTCCAAATCTAGTGAGCCAACTACTTGGCCTCTGTGTAGGATACTATAGAATATCCCAGCTAAGGATACCCTAATGTCTACTTAGTAATGCCAATAAAGTTTAACTCCCATTAACCATTTTAAAAGGAAAAAAAAAATCTTATGTTGAAGGACTATTCAAAATGAAAAGGATTTTCAGTAATATTTAGCAGCTCTTCTGGAGCTTTTGCCATAGCCTTGATACTTGTATCCAATTCCTTTCTGACAGATATAGTCTTATAGACATGTAACTAAGAACATTTCTAACGGGGAATAAATAAAATCATTGTTAGCTTGCTTTTAATTTAAGGAAGGGATAATTTACAGTTGTAGTTACTACCATTTAAGAAAAATGAAAAGAGAAATAATCTTGACAAATGTTTCTAAAGTTATTAGAAACATGTTGACTACAGATGTGTTGTTTCTGAAATATTCCATGCATATTTGTGCATCAAAATAATGGTATGCATTATGTATCATCTGTACTTGGTAATAGCAAACAAACCCTTACATATTATTTGTTTGTGATGATTCATCTAATCTCTTACTCTTGAACTGTTACTATCTCAATAAATAAAAATCCCAAAGCTTTTATTTTCTAAAATTTAGTTTTCTTATATTCCTTTTCTATGTGAAGTTTCACATTAAAGGAATAAAAAGGAGGTGACTGTAAAAAAACAATTTACTGTAAAATGAACAATTGTGGCAGTGGGAGTTCCGGGGTGCAATGTCAAACATTTCCTTTAATGTGTATCATTTATTTTTCACATTCTTTCATTATGATTTGGCTTGGGTTTGAGATTTCACCATCTAGGTGTGATCAAAGTTAAAGTATGAAAAACATTACATTAAAACTCTAGTTTTCACTGTTTTTATTTTGCATGCAGAAAAGTGACAATAATGGAAGACTCTGATCAAAACATTCACCTGAAAAACTTGTCTCTTCAGCAAGCAACCAATGAAGAGGAGGCCTTAAACCTACTCTTCTTGGGGGACACCAACAGAATGATTGCTGAGGTGAGATTTGCTGCTCCAATCTTCTTAACACCACCAAAATTAAAATGGTCAAAAACATCTCTCCTCTCTCAAATAAAAGGTATATTTTAGAAGTCCTTGGACATAAATTAGTATCCTCTTTTTTGAGTGTATTTCCACAGTGAAATTAAATAAACATTTATTTGATGATAGTGTTCCATAGTGGATCTCATTGGTGGCTCTTGATGCTCAAGGTTGGATGTCTTGATGTTTACTGAAATTCAAATAAGTAGAATATGGAAATTCTCATAAAATATAGACTTAATTTTGGATGTGGCATGGATCAACATACACAGACATGTAAAGATGAGAAAATATGTCCTTGCAAAGCATTGTCAAATATTCCCAGTGAAATTTTTCAGTGGAAGTGTTCAAAACTAGGATGGATGGGGCCCTGAGCATCCTACTCTAGTTGTCCCTACTCATAGAGTGTGAGGGGATTGGGAGGCTGGAACAACTCAAACCATTCTATGATTCTATGATTAAGTACTCAATTTCCTTTGAAGTACTTAATATAAGTCCCTTCTTTTTTTCCTTCTTATTGCATAAACACATGGTTTTATGTCAAAAAACACAAAACAAACAACCTCCCAAAACAAACAAATAAACAAAACCCACCAAAAACCCAGATGGAAATTCAAAATAAATATATGCCAATATTCAAGCACAAGGATGTTTTTACTGATTCTGAAAACTTCAAATTAAATGGTTTTGTATCTGACATCTGCATGGTTCTTTTTTCCCTTCATGCTTGGATATGGAATGTAAATATAAAAAGTGTATTGTATATTATGAACACTGGCACTATGTCTTTACTACCATAGAGTTAATTCTCTTTTAGGACTTTTTGGGTTTTCTTCCTCTGTATCTTCAAAAGGATATGTTGTAAATCATTGACAAGAAAGACACTTAGAATATATGAATAGTCAGATAGTTCTGTGTTCCTGTTGGATGACCACATACATCTGGACACAGGGGAAGAAGCATTTGATTACAAAATGTAAATAGATAACTCAAATACTTGTTCTTTCTCAAGGACGACTGTTTCAACAGGTATGAGAGGTATGAATATGTTAAGACAAGAGATAATCAACATAAGGGCTTCTCATAAACCTGAGCATTAGGCTTCATGATATTGAAATAGAAAAATTGGTACTGTGTGGAGGAGAGGAATTTGACAAAACGTAATAGAAGAGAAAAGGGTTAATCTAGAGATCTAAGAAAGAGGACTTATGGCATAAAACATAACTTTTCTGGAAATCCTTATTTTTAAATCTTGAGTTATCATAATACTTTCTGACCTCTGAGATTAGAACCCTCTTAATAAACTTTAAAGAAAAAGAAGCAAGATTAATAGACCTGAATAGAAAAGAAAGTAAAATAAATGCTGGATTAATCTTTTTTAATGGTGAGTTTGGCTGTGGAAAAACTCAGATGACTGTCGTGGATCACATATGAGATCTATAGCCTCTAAAATTGCAATCTAGTGCTTTAACCCTGAATAACCCTTCTTTGAAGACTTGACTATTTTGAAAATAAGAATGATAATTTAATTTCTGCATTGCCTGTGCTAATACAGTCTGTCTTGTGATTTGAGGGGTGCATTTTTCCCTCATTACTGATTGTGCTAAAAAAATCACAATATTAAAAGTATTTTATAGGCAACATTCATTCATTCATTAAATTTCAGAACCTAAGAGAATGTTTATTGCTGAATGCTTCTTTCCCACATGTAACTATATAGCCCAAGAGAAGGAACAAAAGGGAAACTAATCTAGTTTCTGAAAGATTGCTTTACTAGGCAATGTAGGCCTGGTCCTTTTCTCTAGTTTGGGTGTGTACTATGAGTTGTGTAAATGGTAAGATGGGAGGCATTTGTGCCAGACAATTCATAATCTAAAAATCTAAACAGGAATTTTTTTATCTCATATTTTGCCAGAGAGAACTAGGCAGAGATCAACACCAAAAATCTGAGTCTTTTTCGGCAGTTCTGCTGAACATAAGGACTAGATTTTTGTTTGCTTTTTGATAAAGCAATTTCTTGGTACATTTGAATACATAAGAATCTGCAGCAACAGGTTATAAAATCTGAACTTTTTTCTTATATTTTCTATCTCTTAACATCCTTATGATTTCAGTATGTGAAATGCATGCTGAGGATTTAAAAATCAAATTTGCAGTATAAGCTATTGGCAGCAGCAACATCTAAAAAAGCTCCTGTGTGGAAATAAGTGTTTTGCCATTTAGGTAGTGTTTCCAAACAATTTTATTTTGGTATACTATTAATATATTTTCAGCTGAAGTGGTCTTTTCTTAGTTCTTGTGATGGGAATCTCGTATGACCTCTGCCTTTTGAAATAACTTGCCTAAACCTCTATGATTTTGAGAATTCTTAGTAGTTTTTAGTATTTCTCTAAAAGCAATAGAGTAAGGTAGCATACTAAGGATGTGCAGCAATTTCAAAATGTTAAATCTTTTTCTGAGATTGGTACATCTGAGGACTGCAGTTACATATACAGTTAGATTTTATTTTTCTTCTGATGAAAAGGTACTTTGTTTTAATGAGGGAGAAAATATTTCAGTGCATGGTTAGTGTTTCCAAACAATTTTATTTTGGTATACTATTAATATATTTTCAGCTGAAGTGGTCTTTTCTTAGTTCTTGTGATGGGAATCTCGTATGACCTCTGCCTTTTGAAATAACTTGCCTAAACCTCTATGATTTTGAGAATTCTTAGTAGTTTTTAGTATTTCTCTAAAAGCAATAGAGTAAGGTAGCATACTAAGGATGTGCAGCAATTTCAAAATGTTAAATCTTTTTCTGAGATTGGTACATCTGAGGACTGCAGTTACATATACAGTTAGATTTTATTTTTCCTCTAAAGAAAAGGTACTTTGTTTTAATGAGGGACAAAAAATATTTCAGTGCATGGTTTTATACATACAGCACTCCATTTTTAAATTTGGCACACAGTGTAGATGACACAGTATTTGTTCCATCATTTAAAATGTTTGAAGTAGAGTTGGGGCAATCAGTAAACTTTTGGCAATGTTTAAATATGTTCATTTCAAGAAAGAATGAAACTTAAATTTTAAGGGTAGTTTTGGGGCCTGACTTGTGACCTGTGAATTGAACTCATTCTATATATATTTATTGTACATTAATATTCTCTTGAATATATTTAGAAAGCCAGTGATAGTGTTTGACTGCATTTTTTATTGGATAAGATAGAAAAAATAGGATTTCAGTGTGTGAGCATATGAGATTAAACGTCACTTATGATAAAAATGCATGCTATCTGGGTTAGTGCTGCAGTCTAGAAGAAATTACAACTTTCTGCTTTCCTAGTGTCTTGGTTTAGGACAAATTAGGGGAAATCTCTAAAAGGGAGCCCCCTAAAAAAAAAACTTCCAACCACTCCTCTCTCAATACTGGGTTCGGGAAGGAATTCTTCGGAGGAGTACAGTGGAAAACAAAACCTATTTATTAACAAATAACAAAAGAACACTCTCTAACACAAGAAAATAAAAGAAAACTAGGCAGTGTTGTGGAGGGCGCTGAGCTTTTCTCGCAGACTCTGGGGGTCTTGGACGTCCCAGGTCAGGTCTGGAGCTGGTTCAATATTTTCAGGGGAGGGTAAGAAAGAGAGAACGAAAGAAAAAGAAAAAAAAAAAACAGCGTAGAAAGCAGAAAGCGGCAAAAAAAGCAGCTAGCAGCTGAGGCAGGAGCAAGCAAGCAAGCCAGCCAGCCAAGCCAAGCAGCTAAGCAAAAGCCAAGGTGCCCGGTCACACTCACCCCTCCCTCCCCGCCCCGCCGCGGCAAGACGGCCGGGGGAGGAAAAGGCGCAGCTGCCAGACACAACACACGATATTGGGATAAAGGCTGTCACCTGACGACACCTAGGTTCCTCTTTGGTGTCAATTATTAACTTATTTCCACTCCAACAAACCTGTAATATTGTATTATGAGCACCAAATAGTATCATTATTTCAGCACAGGTGCTTTCATTTCCATGTGTGGTAAAAAAAAATTACTGGTCATACATACTACTTTGAATAGTCCTCAAAATGCTTTGGGATTTATATGGATAAAAGGCACTATATAACATAAGGTTAATAATGTCTTCACCAGGGAATGATAATTACTTTTAAAATTGCCTGAGTTTACAAGTTATCGTGGTCTAACTGTGAAACTGTACTTGTAGTAAATATGGAAAGATAATGTATTGCTTTCAGGAAATGATTGCTCTTATTCTGATCCAGATATTTTCGTAGCAAAATTTTTCAATTTCAACTATGGCAAGTGTACCTAAGTACAACTGAAGAGCTCCTTCACCAGTGATATATTATTTAGAAAGGAAACTAAAGACATACTGAGGTCTCTCTCATCTACCAGATGCTCTTCCTTATAGTATAGTTCTGTTGGAACTGGAGTTTATATTCATTAGACAGATATACACCTGAAATGTGAAATGACTGTAGTTGTCAGCACATCTTCCTACAGATATCCCTCTGTAGCACAAAGTTGGAGAAAATTGATTTGATATCAATCTTGAATGTTATCAGTACATTCTTTTTTCACCTTGCTCTTCTTTGAAAAGTTCAGAAGCAAAAAAATCCTTAAGAAGAAAAAGAAACATTCCTTAAAAGAAAGTTTTTTAAGTTTTCACTGAGACATTCTCTCAAAAAACTTTGAACACTCAGAATTGACATCTCTTTATGAATTGTCTAGTCACTAATTCACTCATGCAGGAAAATCATGTTCTTCTGCTGTCCAAATATTTTGAGTCAAGGAAGATTCCACTGGAATAGTGTAGGTTGCCAAGTGGTGGTGGATTGCAATATGGGCATTTATCACCTGCAAAATTGTTTTGTCCCAGTGTTCCTGCTCTCTTTCATGCATTATCTCAATCAGTGTTTTGGCAGCCATACTTAACACATTATTCTTCCAGATAGTAGCAGCTTCTGTTAGTCTAGTGGTGATTTTCAAACAGCTTTTCATATATCTTTGTCCTATTTAAGAAACTTTCTCTTTCTTAGGTCCTAAATCCTTAAGAACGCTATTTAGACCTGTAGCATCCATTTCTGGCTATTTTTAGTGAAAACATTTATAATAGCAGCTGCAACAAATAAAGGATTTGGGAAATACAGAAATTCCTGTATAATGAAGAATTCTGTAGTGTTTTGCTGACTTAAGATGGGTAAGAATTTGATTAAGATGGACAGCTTAGGTTCCAGCAGGTTTTTGGATGGTTTTTGACCTTGTATTCCTTGACAGGAATATCTAGCTCAGAAGCTTCTTCCAGTATGACTGTGATGTAGATTCTCATTTAAGTAGAAGCCATTGTATAAATAGATGTAGTACTTAAAGTCACAAAGCTTCTATACAATTTATTTAATTATATCAAACACAGGTATATTTTCATCCTGTAAAAAAAACCAAGACTGGCTTGTATGGCTTGAAATACCCCTTGTACGTATTTTCCATGGTCAAATGAAGTGTTGATGCATTACCAAGTCAATGTTACTGAATTGTCCCTTACCATGCTACAAATGGGCAGCAATAGATGACCTGGCATTAAGTCCTTTGTAGTGTTCACATGGTATCACAAAGCATCTGAAGTCTGCTTATGTGGTTTATGATGTAACAGAATTCCTGGAAAAAATTATTCTTTTTAAGTAACTGCTGCTCATCAGTTGTTCTATATATAACTCTCACAATAGCAACCATCTGCTGAGAACCAAGCCACTCCCCTCTTTCTTTTTTTTCCTTCATCACATCAAATTAGTGTTAGGATGATTTCATATACATATGGTTTGAATACTACTAACAAAGCCAAAATGAACTCTGAAAACCACCAAAGGAACATTTTAGTAGGCTCTGAGACACTGTCCAGAAAATGTTATTTGTTTTCTGTTTTCAAACTTTCTAAACAGATGAATGGTGATACTCAGAAGTTGTATATGAAAGATAACAATCAAATTGTAAAAGAAAAGGCTTGTTCTTGGACTGGAGATGCCAACACATCATCATTTCTGTTGTGTGCTGTGCATCTACTTGTGTGGTAAAAGTAGCTAAGTGTGGGGGGATAATGAAATTAACATTTCATGGTCGCATCCCATTTAACAGTTTAAATTTTTATTGCTTTATCCTTTCTGCAAGGTTTCTAACAGAGCTTCCTATATATGGGAACTCCAAAGCAGAGATAGAATCATACTGCAGAAAGGAGTATTGATGTCTTGATTAAGCCATGGTTCTACTCTGAAGAAGGCCTTCACAAAAAATACCAGTTTGAGTTTCTAGCCAGTGACTTCCAAATCAGCTTCATTAATTATTTTTTTTCATTTACGTGAGAAAAACAAGCTGTGAAGAGAAAAGCAATGGAATTTCTAATGGCTAATCCAGCCAAATCTACTTGGAACACTAAAAATAAAGTTGTGGCTAGTGTATCAGAATACACAACAAAAACGTTGTGTATGTTTTTTGTAGAGCAAATATTGCCATGTGCTGTTTGGAACTCAGAGTCCTGAAGTTATGTTCTTTTAGGATTTGAATTTTTTTTTGCCTCTGTTGGCATTAAATGGGTGTGACTAAAAGCTCTTTTTGAAATACATAAGGTTTTGCTGCAGTGTGAATCCCAAGTTTGCTTAACAATGCTTATTTGGAAGTATGATGATTTCTTCAGCTTCTGTCATAGCAACATTTGTGCTTCCACCTGTACTGACATTTGATCTGGCTTCAATTTGTCTGCAGTATAGTGTGACTGATGCCATGTCTGTAGTGCAAAATGTCCCTAAATATCAGTTCTGTCAAGGAGAATGTCCTTAAATATTAATACCATTGTGGATTTTTAGCTGGAAAAAAAATCCATTCCTGCTTACAGAGCTGCAAATAAAAAAGTCATAGCTATCTCAGTAAAATAAGTGAAGCTGGCTCTGATTATTCATGGAATCAGAATTGCTGAATAAAGTACATTTTCACAGCATATAACTTTTTCTTAGTATAACTGCATTTTAAGTAAGTTTGGTAGTGTTTTCTTGCTTGACACCTTTCCCTCAGTCTGTTTATTTTCATTCCAACACTACAACTCACTTCCTCTTCATTTGCCCAGCATCGCCTCTGAGGATAGCATAGCATGTGACTGCACTCTGATGCTCATTTCACAGGATTATGAATTCTAAAATTCTTCATCTGTATGAATTAATGATCAAAATTATTTTCCCTCTCCCTCTGAGCTTGCCTGTATTAGGTAAAGCAGCCCAAAACAAAATACTGCTAAGGCTGAAATTTCCTTAAAGAATTTTCACCAACAGCAAAAAGTGCATGCTGTGTCTGCACACTGCCTACATTTTCACATCCAGTATGCTGTTATTTTCAGATATTCTGCACAGTTGTTTTCTATAGCTGTGTTTTGGCTGAATCAAGAAACTGATCCAGGTTAAATATCTATGGTTTGCCTATTTTTTGGTGGGGTTTTTTTGGTTGTTTTTTTTTTTTGTTGTTGTTTTTTGGTTTTTTGGTTTTGGGTTTTGTTTTTTTTTTTTTTGAGCTGGATCAGTTCCCAAAACCCATTTGGTTGTGTTGGCACTATTAAGGCTTAAAAAAAAAGGGGAACTTGAAGTGGAGACAATTGAACCAAATGGTCCATAGTATTCCTGTTAAAGGACTCTTCAGCTTGTAGTTTTTCTGTTAAGAGCTGTCCTTTCTGGATCAATAAGACAACATCTTCAGTACCTGCACTGGGCAGGCCATTTTAATGTCTGCAGTGTTGCATGCTAAAGCAGATTATGTAAAGAAAAAGACAACATGTTGTCTTATATGGTCTGAATCACAGGATAGGTCTACATAAAAAATTACTGCAGAATAACAGAGGAATAAAGTAGAGATCAGAGATTAATGTAGACAGTATAACCAGGATGTTTGTATTACTTTTTTCAGCAACTATAAATAAATATAGATTTAGTTGCTGACACAATAATATTGATTTAGTATTTTGCTACTCTATTTTTTGCAGGGTCAGCATTTATGTCCTGAAAGCAATGTAGTCATACTTGTTACAGTTTATGAATAAAAATACTATCTGTATACTAAACCTTTAATCTCCACATATAATCTCGAGCTTTAGCTATTTATGAAATGAGGATTATGTAGAGTAATTTTAGATTTAAGTTTCTAACAATATCTGATACGGCTAAACAAAAGGTGCTTTACATGCTTAAAGATATTTTATATGTTTTTTAATAAAAATGCATATGTGATGGCATAGGATCATTTAAAATCTAAAGTTAAATATCTGAGAGCTGTTTAAAACTTTTGGTTCTGCATTTCAAATATTTTGAGAAAACCTCTGAAGTGATGTTAAGACTGCACATTTCTAAAACTTGACCAAGACTTTGTGTTTTAAATTAAGGAGGTGTGGCTCTAGTTATTCCCAAAAAATATATATTTAAAGCCAAACATTTAATGAAAACTGTCATGCCACCTAAAACTCTGATATTGATTTTGCCAAGCAGAATTTTTTCATAAAAGTAATAATGCAGAAGTCTAAAGCCTTATAGAAGTCCTAGTCCTTGTTACACTGGTAGCTACCTATCAGAATAAAAAAAAAAAAAAAAAAAAAGAAAAAAAAAAATTTATGTACCAATGGGGAAATTAATAAGTTCACAGAGATCAGCATTCAGTAACTTTCTGTCAAGTCAAGCTGCCCTTTTCTAGTATTCCTCATGTAGTAAGGCCACTTGTTTTGCTGATGTTAGAGGATTTTGCACCAACCTTAATTTCTTACAGTACAATTTGTCCAGATTATCCAAGTATTTTTCCAGAATACAATGTTTGGTAAATCTTTTTGGGTTATTTTTGCATGTTCATTACAGGTCCAATAGCTAAAAATATGGGATATATTATTTCATTTGCCAGATTACTGAGCTATAAAGTGCTGAATTTATTTATCCACTGAACACTGAGAGTTCTTTTCTTCCTGTCATTGTAGACACCAATGAATCAAGCCTCAAGCCGGTCTCACTGCATTTTCACTGTTCACATCTCCAGCAAGGAACCTGGATCTGCAACTACCCGACGCTCCAAGTTGCATTTAGTAGATCTTGCTGGATCAGAACGTGTTGCAAAGACTGGAATTGGAGGTCACTTACTGACAGAGGCAAAATATATCAACCTGTCATTACATTATTTGGAGCAGGTAAAATTAAAAAAGAGCAAAACCTTTCTCCCTTTACTAAATTCCTGTTTAACAATGTGCAATGTTTTGGAAAACTTTATTCCAATATTTACTTAGTCTTAGGATATTTGTTGCAAGGTTTTTTAATCATTGAATTGATATGTCTTCCTTTAAAATAAAATATTTTAATTTAGGGCAAAATTAACAATTAAGCAGTAGGATTATAGTAGGTACATAGGGTAGTATTTCCAAAATGGTTTTCTTGTTTTCTTTGAAATACTAAAGATATTTACAAGATTTGAGCTATATTTCTCCTAAAAATGTTCTTCATAATCATCTTCTCCTTCCACAGCTGAGATCAGGATGTATCACTGAAAAGAAAGTGTTTGGGCTTTATTTGGTTCAAGCATTGTAATATGGTAAATTATTTGGCTCTTCTCTCATGAGTTGTTTTATTCCTCTACCAATTTAAATCTTTTATCTTTTGGAGACAGAAGTTATCATTGGTAATATATTTATGAATTGACTACCATAGCTGGATTTATACCAGTAGAATAAATACTACTAAATTATACTAAATATAGTATAATAATAAGTAAGTAAATAAATAAAATATTGTTATTATAATTGTTGTTTTAGTTATTATTAATCTCCACAAAGCTTTGTCATTCCGCTGTTGTTACTCAAAAGATTCTCCCTCTTAATTTAAGGTGTACTAAAATCCCTATTCTTCTTTCACTGTTGCTTTTTGTTTTTCCTCTTTGGAAAAAACAAATATTGAGCAAATAGATTGCTCCTAACCAACCTTATTCATTAAAAATATATACTTCAGACTGCAGCAGTGAAAGGAAATTTTGGAGATAAAGATTTCCAGTAAAAAGATTTCTTTAATTATGGTGATTGTTATTATTATTAATGTTTTACAAGAAGTACATAATTATTAAGTTAATTATTGAAATAATTATTTTGATACTATATTTTTTTAAAATTAAGGCTTTAATATATATCTCTCTCTGATCTGCCATGTTGTTTTATGTGGTTGATGTTTATGATGCTTACCAAGTTTGAGTAAGAAACACTTGGCAATGAATGAAATCTCTTTTGTGTATGCAATCACTATTAAGCATTCACTGAAGATTTTCAAGTGTACATTTCAGATCTCACACCTGCAAGAGAAATTAATTTCTTCCTAAGACTAAATATTTAATATTGTTTACACAGTACAGCATGCACTGTTCCTGTTGCTAGAAATTAATTCTTTTGGCTATTCCAATGGACAATACAACATTTTCTCCTAAGGCTTCTTTAAAAGTTTTTATGTAGAAACATAACGTATCTGTGAGGCTGTCATTTAGGGGGACAGTTAAGGAGAATATGGAGAAGAAAAAAGGCTTAACTCTAAAATTCAAATCAGTACTTTTTACTTTACATTATAGTACATGTGCTATTTAGTAAAATATGCAATTGAGGAGATGATCGTTAAACCTGAGAATTTTGTGGGTGTGTATATGTGAAAATTCTTTAAAATGATTAGGAAATATAACTGTTCTACTTGCTAGGGGAGAATATTTTTCAGTTTTGTGTTAAGTGTTCACAAAAACAAATATCTTGGATTTCATTTAATTTGTAATCAGAGATATTTCATCTGTCAAAAGAAGCAGCTTAAGGTACAGCAGATGGCAGTCAGTCATTTACTATCACACTAGACTTTTTTCAGGCCCCTCATTTGTTTAAATTTTACCTTGAAGAATAGTGTCTGTATTTGAGTTGTACTCAAGGGAAGTGATAAGGATCAGTGACTCTAAAATGTATATCTTCAGAATCATACAAATTATACTCAGGATCCCTTCTTATTTATTGTATTATTTTTATGTATTTAGCAGAGAAAGATATTATTTTTTCATGCAAATTTTCATTTCTGTTTCAGAGAAATACTCTTGGAAATAGGCATGTTGAATTCTGTCTGGGATTGTGTATTAATAGAAATGTTTTCTAATATTGAATAAAAGACCACCAAAGACAGTAAAAATGTCCTTTTTTTCCCCAAATCAATGGGAATTTAACCATCCAATCCTGAACTTGCAGTGAATAGTATTAAAATGCACAAATGCTTCAAAATTTTAATATCTTATTAAAATTCTCAAGTCTTTAGCTATCTACTAATGGTCTAGTGTTGATTTATACCATTTTGAAATACTTTTCACAGTAAAATAGTCATATTAAATTATTTGTATTGAGATAACAATAAGAACACAACTCTGTGTTAGCACACCTGATCTACTTGTTAAATATTGTTAGTATGGTAAAAAAGTCTTCAAATAAATCCACTGCACTTTTTCTCCAAGCGGCCTCTACATCCAGAGACAAATGAAGATAGTTTTATGCAGCTGATCTGAAATGGTAGCAGGAATTTGGAAGTACTTAGTATTATATTTGGGTTGCTTTTTTTGTCTGAGAGATGTACTAGCACATTCTCAAATTACAACTGCAATGTAACTGTGCATATGTAGATACTCCCTTATGATAGAAATATAGGGGATCCTAGACCAGATTTAGAGTTGCAAATTAAGTTGTACTGCCATGTGATTTGACACTGTAATGGAATTACTTCCCCAAAAAAACCCAGGTTACAATGTTCTCATTGCTTTAATGAATGTGTTTGTTAACAGTCTTTTAACATGTGTTCCATTTACAGAATGTTGATTTTGTCCATTAGTGGATGGTTGCTGCCCAAATTTACGAAAGGGGTTTTTTTGTAGTTTGTTTGTTTGTTTGGGGTTTTTTTGTTTTGTTGGTTCATTGGGTTTTTTTTCTGCAAGGACCACAGTTTAAGCTTCTAAATTCTACTAGAAATGGGAAGTAGGATGGGAAACAAAAGACCTCTGAAGCAGGAATATGGCTTCAGAGCATGTGATATACAAAACAGCAAGATAGAGGTGTACCTGAGAGCTCTGTTTCTGCAAGTGATGCACACCAAAAAGCCAGTCGCTTGAGGATTCTCTGAGAACAGGATGGCATGAGATACTGGCATGATCTGTTCCTTGCACAAACGATGTGGATGGAAATGGGGATGCTTGGGCACACTTCAGATCATGTCAGAATCACTTGTGAGTCTTGCACTTTCTGTTGTGCTAACAGTGTTTCCACATGTGTCAGTGGAATTATTTGTGATTGTACCTGCTCTGTTTCATATTTACAAAAAGTGCTAAGAGTTCTGAGAGCAGCTAGGGCTTAAGGTGGTTTGTTTGACCCACTCAAAATGAAACTTTCTGCTTTAGTGACATTATTAAGCTTAAAATTACAGCTATTATAAAAAACCCTTTTTATATCTAAAGGATAATAACAGCTTCTTAAATGAGACAAATTTCTGATTTTTGCATTTGGTGCTTCTTAGAGAATCCAGGTTCAGCTTCTGTACAGGTGGTCTTTGTTACTTCCTTCTCCTTCAAATTCTCCTCTTTCTATTCTAGATTACTTGATTGGATTGTAAAAATCGATTTAGTGATGGGACTTTAGACTAAAATAATGTGTATTATGGGACTGTCACGTGACAGTACAATGGGTTCTGCATCATGATAGCTGGTCACAGCTTTTCAGCGTCAGTGTGGGAGGATTCAGATTCTAACTGGGCTGCAGTCTTCCTGCATGGACTTCAGGAAAAAATGAACTTCCCTGTAACAATGTTCCTATTTTTAATGGAAATAACTTATCTTCTCTCCAGCTCTTTTCCCATCTTGTCTATTCCATCTGTGTGGCAGAGGCTAAGAATGTGCTTATTAATGTATGTGCTAAACTACTATGAGGTTTCTATGCAATATCATGAACCAACAAAGCTTTAACCTGTTTCTATATAACAAGTTGTAACATATGAGATTTGAAAACCTTGATCCAGAAATGGGTTTCCATTTACAAGACAGTAATTTTCTTATTATGCATTTGTGTCTCTTAGGGCTGCCGGTGTAAGATTTATAGTTTTAACATTTAACTTTCTGAAGAAGACCATTAAGAGAAACTAATGCCACAAAAAAAGTCACTACTAAATTTTCTAAAATAGCAATTTTTTTAAATGTAGCATAAAAAATATACACTGATATGTAACATTTATTAAAGAAAAAACAACTCCTAATCATTTAGGAGAGTTTGCACAACTCATAGCTAAATTTTTTCAGTACAGTACTTGGCCAGATAACAGTACACATCTTTTATATCACAGGACATCATGGGGTAATCTAGCTTTTTATTTAATAATTAGGTCACATAATGTAAGCAGCTGAGGAGGGAAACTGAGAATAGTAGGTGTACAATTTCCTTTTTGGCCAAGGCATATATATTCTAAAGTGAATAATTTCTTTCCAGCAGTACCTTGTAATCATGCACCCTTTTATTTATGCTTTGCTTTCCAAGACATTTGCTCAGAAATAAATGTATTGGCCCATGTAAGAAGCGCATGTTTTAAGAATGCATAATTTTTAAACCATGCTTTAGCAAATATTGAGGAAGTTTTTACTTTAATACTATCCATATTTTGTAGTCATGACAAAAAAGTCTGAGGAAGATTTTCATTAAGTTCCTGTGTCTTAGGAAAACCTGTGGGTTTATCCTGTTTAGTTTCCATGTTGCTAAGAGAGGCTGTAAGGCTAGGGCATGATAAAATTTAATGTATTTGGTCTTTCAGGTCCAGCTCCTACAAAGACATATAAACATGCTAAAATTTAACTTGGAATTCTTTCAATAAAGCCAGTAGGTTTGCAGCTAACAGTGGGGTGCATAAGCATCCCTGTTTTGTTGTGTCAAAAGTTCTCGAGCAGATTGGATTTGTACTTTATATGTTTTATATGTTGGATATGTTCTTTATATGTCAAACATTAAGAGACATATAAATTTAAGTATTTTATTTTTGCTATTGTTTCAGGTAATAATTGCCCTTGCAGAGAAAAATCGGTCCCACATTCCTTACCGAAACTCTATGATGACCTCAGTGCTAAGAGACAGCCTGGGAGGAAACTGCATGACTACTATGATAGCAATGCTTGCTATGGACAAAAGAAACATAGATGTATGTTGTTTCTATCTTGAACAAAAATCTTGTCACTTCTCTATAGATCCTGCTCTTTTGATTTTTAGTATAGATTACAATTCAAGTGTGTAAGCTTTTATTCTCATCCTTTTAAAAGGATATTTTAATTTTGTTTCTGGGACATAATTTAGAATAGAAATAGATAATCTATGAAAATTGCTGTAGGATAGAAACACGTCCTTAAAAAATGTGCTTTTCTCTAAGTAATCTCAAGTCAAGGAGCAGTTGCGTAAAGACTTGCACCTAGTGATTAACACTGCTCTTTTTCACCAGGAATTCCTGATGATTACTGATTCCTGGTGAATAAATTTTTGAGTTATAAAAGTGCATTTCCACTGAAAACCTTGGCAGAACTTTTGTTAGACTTCTTTGGAGTCAAGATTTTATAGATTATGGTAGACAAATGGAGAGTTCACTAGGAAAGAAAGGGAATTGGGGGGAGTAGTTTAAGATTTATGGAAATTTTTCAAATATTTTGTGTCCTGTCACCAATTTCCTGCACTGGAATTATGTGCAGCGATGTTTTCCCTTTTTTTACAAATAGGTCTGTAGTTTTTATCAAAGGGCTGTGGTGAATGGGGATCTGCCTGGAGACTGGTCAGCAATGATATTCCTCGAGGTTCAGTTCCAGGGCCAGTTCTGTTCAATGCGTTAATCAGTGATCTGGATGCAGAAGTTGAATAGTTGGCCCACTAGCAAGTTTGCTGATGATGCCAAACTGGGATATGCTGCTGACTCTCTTGAGGGACAGAAGGCCTTGCAGATGGATGTAGATATATTGGAGCATTAGGCTGTGATTATTGGGATAAAATTTAGCGAGTTCTGCATTTATAGTGGAGTAATGCCCAACACAAGCATAATCTGGGAGACCAGTGGATGGAAAGTGGTCCTGCAGAAATGGATCCAGGGATGCTGGTCAGAGGAGCAGTGGGGCCTGGCACCCAAGGGGGCACCACATCCTGGGATACATCAAATACAGCACAACCAGCAGGTCAGAAGAGGTGATTATCCTGCTGTCTGCCATTCTCACCTTGAGCACTCTGTGCAGTTCTGAGCCCCACAGGTTAAGAAGGATGTGAATGTCCTTGAGTGCAGCCAGAGGAGGGCAACAAAGCTGGCTAAAGTCTGGAAAAAATGTCCTGTGAGGAGCAGTGGAAGAATTTGGTTTTGTCTAGTTAGGAGCAAAGAAGGCTGAGGGTGGCCTCATTCCTCTCTGCATCTCTTTGAGAGGGGAAAGTGGAGAGGTCTTGAGCTCTTCTCCCTGGTATCCTGTGATGGATTGTGTGGGAATGGTTCAAAGATATGCCAGGGAAAGTTCAGGCTGGACATTAGGAAGCGTTTCTTTGAGAGAATGTTTAGACACTGGACCAGGCTGGAGAGGTGGTTGGTGCCCCAAGCCTGTCAGTATTTAAGAGGTGTTTGGACAATGCCCTTAACAATGTGCTCTAACTTGGTCAGGCAGTTGGACAAGCTGATCATTGTAGGTGCCTTCCAACTGAAATAGTGTTGTCTATTTTATTCTAGAACATGTAGCAATGTGAGTGCATAGAACGCTGCTCAAAGCCATTTATAATCGGTTTGTTTCCTGATTTTCCTAACATAAAAAGCATTCTAATATGAATAAACAAGAAAATAAAAACTATTTCGTCTAAGACTGTTTTCTGAAATACAGTGGAAAATATGATACTCAAACCATACTTGATCTAGTTTTAGACTTTTCCTTTAGAGAAGTGGACTTTGCTGTTAAATGAAAACATATTGTTCAGACTTGCAAATGTAGTTATGCAAACATATTTTCTGGTTACAAAGGCAGCTGGGTAAGTTTGTTAATTTTATTTTAAGCTCTGTGAGGTCAGAAACCTTTAATATATCAATTCATCAGGTGTATCTCACATTGTGTTCTAGATTTCTATTTTGGAAATATTTAGATCAAGCAATTATCCAATACAAGCTATGAAAATTTTCATGTTCTTGCTTTAATGTATACTATTTACACCACAGAATTCATTCTTCAGTCCTCCCAAAAATAAAAAAAAAAAAAAAAAAAAAAAAAAAAAAACACAAACAAAAACCAACTAAACAAAAAACCCAACAAAACAACAACAAAATCCCTTCCTTGATCCCCAAAATCTGGAATGTCCAAATAATAAAGGAGGATGATAAGCTAATATGTCTGAATAATATAAAAAGATTATAAGGAAGTTGCTAATCATCAGAAAACATCAAAGTTAGGATAGGTGCATGAGTCATTATCCATAGCTATGTTAGGGTTGCAGGTTGGTTTGTTTTTTCCATTGGGTGTATATTTCACTCACAAATGACGCACAAGATAGAACTACCTGCAGTGTGAATTGAAGTTATAGAATAAAAGCCACTTTCTGAAAGACCTGGTGTTGTTTCTTGTAATGAAAACAATTAAGCAGAAAATTCAGAGTAAGAAAGGGAACTCATATGAAGAGGACAAATAGATTATTATCCTAGAGAATTAGATTATATTCCTACTTCTAGCAATGAGTTTGTACAGCATTTAAGTCATTACATCAATTTTTTTTTCTTTTTGAGTGCTTGGATGAAGATGTTGATTCTGAATTGTAGATATAGTATTCAATACAGCTGTAACTGAAGCAGAATGGAAGCTGTTTGAACAGCAGATAATAAAATGACAACAATCGAGTATAATATTTTGGTACTTTCAACTTCAGTTTCCATTATGTTAAGTGTAAACATTTCACACACTTGCAGAAAAAAAGGATAATTGATTAATTCTTGTAAAGCCCTGAGGTGCTGTGATGATAAGCATGGTATAAAAATGATTAGGAAATTAGATGTCTGACTTGATTACCATTTTGATGGCATGGAATAAACAAATTGTAAGCTAGCAGATTGAAGATTGAGAACTGAATTGGTTACTTACTCATTAATTTAACATGTTCTGCACACTAAACAGGGCAAAGAAATCTAGTGGAAATGTATGTATTTGTTGTAGATTACGAAGGAAGTGAGTTTTTGGAAATTGTGGTCAAACCAATCAGTTTGGATTTGAATATTGGCACCTGGTTTGGCCACTGAAGGTATGGGCCGCCTCTGAGAACACAGCGGGTTAAAAGCAAAAACTCCTAGGACAACTCTCTCTTGGTCCCGGTCAGTGAAGGAGGTCAGAGCTGCCCTGCCCAGCCGGGGCTGGCTGGGGGAGGGAAGCCATGCGGCCGGGCGAGGGAGGCCAGAGCCTTGGGCAGAGGAGGGGGTGAAGGCCTTGCAAGATAGAAGGGTGGAGGAGCCCTGAGAAGCATCAGGACCCAGGAGATAGAGAGGGAGAGCCAGTGCCTGTGATGCCTTCAAATTCGATATCATGGACTGGCAGCATGGCCAGCCAGAAAAAAAGTGAGGGATGCGGTGACAGAAAGTGCCCGGCCTCTGTGAGTGTTCTAAGCAGACAGAAGCTGTGGAAGGAGCTAACAGTGGGCCTGTTAGCTGAAGGAGCAAGAAGCAAAGAAGTAGCTGATAAGGAGCTGTCTTCAAGGCTGTAACCAAGGAGACCAAGAGAAGTGAGGAACAGAAGAAAGGCAAGAACTATGCAGCTGGATGGAGTATTTTTAGAAAGTTAGTTAAGTCACTGTAACTTTTCACCAATGGTGTTATGTTGATTTATTGTGGCCAATAGTTAAGGTAGAAGAAGTATAAACTATCACAGAGTGTATAAAAAGTTGGACATATTTCGTATTGAAGAGTTGCCAAATGAGACTACTTCTGGTCGCTTCGTTGTGTCGTGACCGCCCCAACAGCGACAAGAAGCGAAGATTTTAACCCCTTTCTAGAATGATAAAAACCTTACAAATACTGATTCTCCTGAATCAGAATGAAGAGAGAGAGATAAAACATGAAGAAATAAGCAGATGTGATGAAAGTTGGTGTATGTGAGAGATGTCTGAAGAAATGAGAGAAGACAGTAGAGTAACCTTGAGCTAGACCCTTTCTTGCATGGCCATAGACAGACCCATGTTTTTCCTGTGACACAGAGGCTACATTTAAAGACAATGCTTTAGAGCCAAGAGTGAAGAAGTGGCATGAACAGAGATAGCTGAAAAAAGTGTAGAATGCCCTCTGTCTTCAGTGAAGAGGAAGATCTCTGTTCACGAGGCCCCTTGGCCCCAGGGGGTAAATTTGGGGGGGACTGATGTCCCGAAGTTAAGAGACTGCTGCTTTTAGAGCTAGGTGGAACATCCTTAAAGAAAGAACCCTAAAAACAGTACTGGTCCATGTGCAGTAGTAAGATCACTAGACATAAAAAGAAGAAGTCACGAGAGCAAATATTCTCCAGCCAGTGCCACGAGTGACATAGAAACACAAGAAATTTCAATTACATTTCTGGGAGAAGCCTATGGTGCAAAAAGACAATTAAAAATTGATTATTTGAAGAATAATGATGGACTGAAAGTTGATTATCTGAGAGATGGTGACGAAGTAGAAATCTACTATGTCATTTCATGCTGTAGAGGAAATAAGGAGAAAAAGGGGAATATATTTAGAGTGTTTTCATTCTTAGTTTTGTGTCTGTTCCTTTTTAGATGCTGTAGTTAATAAAGTTTGTTTCCTTTATTCCTAAGTTAGGGCCTGCTTTGCTCTGTTCCTGATCACATCTCACAGAAGCCACTAGAGAAAGTGTATTTTCATAAAAATACTGGCATTGTGCCAGCCTCATGACAGTATGTGTAATGTACACATAACTGTACTTACTATATGTATAGAACTTAATTAAAATCACATTGGCTGATCATCATTGCAAAGGAACAGCAGAGGCAGACATAGAGCCCAACTAATATTGTGTGCAACTCTCTTAATTGTAAGGGCTTCTTTTGCTTTGATTCTCTGTGTATATATTTTCTTTAGCAAGAATCATCTTTCCTCATGTAACCCTTCTTCAGGGTTCCAAACCAAAGCCTCCAAGCACTTAAAGAGACAGAAGCTGTGTGCAAAAATGTGAATGAGCATAATATTTCAATTGATATTTTCTTATATTGGAGGACTGGAAACTGCAGAATTACTTCCATTCTGAAAATCAATTCTGTTACAGTCATGAATTAATTTAGGATCTCTGGTACAAATTCTCTTTTAAATGCAGGCTGCCACATCCCATAAGGGTTTGTCATACAGTTTTTCAAGCATCATTTGAATTTCTAAGACTACTGCTCCCTAGTATTCTATGTTTTATTACTTGACTGCACTGGAGAGAGTTGCTGGGGTTTTTTCATCTTATAGCAGGGTCTAGCATTTAAATATCAGCTGATGTGGAATGTGAGAACAATACGTATCAGCATCTTTGATTTCTTTCTGAGCACTAGACAGGAGTACACAATGGCTGTGACAGAGTTTCCCCAACCAACTCAGTCTAGTAACTTTTCTTTTTCTGCCTTTCAGTCCTGCTGATCCCTGTCTTAGCTCATCTGACAGATTTTATCTGGTATCACAGTTCCCCTGTATCCCAGCTTCAAGTCTCCTAGCTTGTTTCTCAGTTGTCCTGAATTTCTGCTGTTCTTTCCTCTATCTTTTTTCCTAGCTTCTTTTACATGAATTACCTAGTCCCCTTTTCACCAAAAAACCAACCAACCAAAACCAAAATAACAAAAAAACACCATCTTTTATTAGTTTTCTCATTTTATCATAATTCATAAAGGTTGTTGCCTTCTGAGTAGCATGGCTTTGTTACCCTATAGTTCCAGCTGGGGACTTACCTGAAATGCAATTGGTCAGAGGATAAACTGTATTGGTAAAATATGTCCTATGATTTAATAGTTTTATGTGCTCCTGTCATTAGTACGATAACCTAATTTCTCTTTAGTGTTCTTATTTTGGAACAAGAAATGATAGAATATTTCTGTAACATACTCAAAAAGTGGAAACATAGTTTAATGGCTTCATTAGCAGTCTGGCTACTTACCTGGTGCCAAGGTAATCGGAATTCTCTCCTCTCTCTCATTTTTTTTTTTATTTTTTCTTCTAGGAATCTATATCAACCTGCAGATTTGCACAGCGAGTTGCTCTTATTAAGAATGAAGCAGTTCTTAATGAAGAAATTGACCCCCGATTGGTGAGAACTGTCTGGGGACAGAGGAAAGGAGATTGCTTTAAGTTTTATTTATCAATAGCAGTCAAATTGATGTTGGGGATTTTATACTGAAATACCCCATTAAATTGTTTTCAAATGCAAGCTCCAACTTTTTTTCTTTAAAATAACTGCCACTCCAACTTTTTTTCTTTTGGACACAGTTATAATTAAGTGGATCTTTATCAAATCTCTAAAGGCTTTCTCAACTCTTAAAGCATGTGAGGAGAAGTGGTCACTTTCATTATTGTCTTAGTTTTGTTTTTTTGAAGTGATAATTCCTAAATCATAGTCACAGATCATTGGATGGTTCTAAAACTCTAAGAATGTACTAAGATTGCTAGTCACTTGATGAAGGCACACAGCTGCACTGAAATAATTTGTGTATTAAAAAGCTGAGAAATATACCAAATCCTTCATTGAAATTGTTTCAAGGAGCATTTTAGATAGGAAGAAAGAGCTTTGTGAAGTTACCATTAGGAAAAAAGAGGGAAACAAGCAAAGGTGAGAGAAATAGCTAATTATGTAGCTAATTATTTTATTCATTGTTACATGATGGTAATTAACATACTTCTGGTACTGTTAATAATTGTGCTTTTATTTTTTCTTCTCTCTTCTTCTTGACTTTCGAAGGGAATATAAGATCCTTGTCAGGTTTTCAGCTAGTTTTCTTTTTCATTATTATTCGTTATTTTGTTTTTCTTTGCAAGCATTTTCTAATAGTAATAGTATCACAGAGTTTTAAAAAAGGCCAAAAAATAAACCCAATAGGCATCGAACAACTTCTTCATTTCTATCTGTCTGTTTTCTTTTCTTTTCTATGTAGACTTTCTAATAGCAAATCATGCAAAACATTTCTTCCATGGCCACAGAAATCTTTGATTGAGGTAAAGCACATGCAAGCTCCTGAACATTTACTACATCCTGTGGAGCTATACTCCAGGAGTTTGGCATGTCTTGCTCTGCAGGATCATTTAGCAAGTAAAGCAAAAGTGGACACATGAGAGTTAGGAAACCATCCCCTCTTGTAGAAAAGGCAGGGGAGCACAAGTACCTTTAATTTATATGGCCCTGTGCTCATTATGGAATTTTTTGCCCATCTTAAGTATATTCCCAGAGTGCAACCCTATTATTCAGAGTGCTGGGTTTAAGATTTTTTTTCATAAAAATAAAATTTTCTTGTAATAAAATAATTTTATGAAAAATCAAAACACAATTTATTGTCAGTATCTATCATCTGTGAGTTGAATGCATGCTTTATAAAGAGTGTTCACAGTACCTCTCAGTGGATCTGACTTAAGTCAGATTGTTCTGTAAACTTTTTTCTTCATAATGGAGAATTCCTGACTTTTTTATCTTACTGAGAAAATGAATTTGTACCTGTTGTAATTTTAAGTAACGCATCTTTGAGCCTCTCTCACTCGTGGCTAAGGACATAATTTAAACTGAAAATCAAGGTCTTGAATTAAACCTCACCTCTTCTGGCATTCATGTAAAAATAGAAATGAAGTTATTTTGCATCTGTAGATTTCTGTTTGTCTTAATAAACTTGAAATTGAATCTTCTATCCATATCCTGAAATTGGGATTTCTGTTGTTGTCAGATTGAAGTTAATCATCCTAACAAATTTGAACATCGAACAGAGATGCTACTGTGATTCAGCTGTCTACCATTTTCCACTCCAGCCCCAAATTTAATTTTCTTGACTCAGTAGCTGGCACAAACTACATCAGAGTGTGGCACCAAAATGGGGCAATATAAAATTAGAGTAAAATGTTTGGCCTGCAATATTCTCTAAGTGTTCTTGCAACTTAATTAAGAGTCATTATTAACAGTCATAAGAGTCTAATTAACAGTCATAATTTTAATAGACTACAAAATAAAATATTATGTTAGACTTTCATACTGTATTGTAAAAAATCATCCTTGTTAAAAAATCCTTATAAGCTATAGGTTTAGAGTTAAAAGAAATAATCATATGCATGTTTAAAATAATTTGGTTTTCAAAGTAAAAACTTGGGTAGTTATGGTTAAATTTAACCGTTAAAAGCAATAGAAATATTTGAAGGAGTTTTACCATCCAGCAAAAATATGTGTCATCAATTTCAACAATCTCATTACTGGAAAGCATGCAGTCAAAAGCAATTATTTTTCCTTAAAAACATTCTTCTCTTGGAAACGTATTCTGCACATGGAATCAGTGTATGCAAATCCACCTAAAAATATCCCTGGCCTACTGATACATTTGAGCCATATAAAGGGAGGCTTCATTAAACGATCAACCATGAAGTGTCCAAGAAAGCACTAATTCATATCTAAGACATGAATTTGCATATTGCCCTGCTTTGTAGAATTTGGCTTTGAGAGATTAATGGTTAGTAAAATTTTGTTTTATACAAAATATTATGTATTTTGTATCTATTATATTTTGGTTTTTGTATTCCCAAAGTACCGACTACATCAATCACTTCCTAGAATTTAAAAATCTAGTTAACTTTTCCATGTAATATTATCACATTACTATTCATTAATACAATTTAATTTCATTATGTTGCTTTATGCCATCAGCTTATTGCTAGCAACTGATGCATCCTACAAGTATAGCATGCACTAATTCTAGTAATAGCAAAATGTCACATGAAAAAGAAAAAATGGTAAGATTAAAATTATGATATTGCTTTGAAATTTCTATTTCTATAAGGGAAAGCAAAAAAAAAATCACTTTTATTGTGTAGTTCCCCTTACTCTAACAAAGATGTCAGTTCTTAAATGTGTTTTTTATCATTGAAGCAAAACTAATGAGTCAGAAAAACTCTTTTTATTCCTATGTCAAATAATATTTCACTTTTGCAAAATATCTTTTGAACTCTTTCTGTACAGCCAAGTCTTCTAACACAAGAATTTACTGAATTTGGAAGACTTTTCTTGGGTTTATAAATGGAAAAGGAGAAAAAAAAATGGTGCTTGGTGTATTTAAGACATTTTGATGGTTTTTAGAAAAGACATCTTGTTTAAAAAAAGAGAAAACTAAAGTATATTTACCTAAACTCAACCTTCTACTGAAAAGATCATAAACTAGCTATTAATTTGTAGGTGATGCTTGGTTTATGTCTTGCTGTTTGTAGATGATTGTCCAGCTGAAAAAGGAGATCCAGGATTTGAAGGATGAGTTGGCACTGGTGACTGGCAAGCAAAGAACATCAGAGCTTTCCCAAGAAGAGCTACTTCAGTAATGTCTTACATTGTTTTCATTTTCTTCTTTTATTATTATACTTTTCATCGGTTTCTTTATTGGCATAAATATTTAAATTAATCTCAGAGTTTTCAACTTCCTTGAGTGAATAATAAAGTGGAGTTAGGTGCCAGTTTAGAATGGCAGATTTCCATGAAAAGCTCTGTGAGGCTGCTGGCTGTGTTTTTGCAGCCTCAGCATTGAGGAAGTGAAGTAAAGTAAACGCTAAGGATGGGAATGCCTGTCAAATGCCAGGCAAAAAGAAGTGTTGTATAATAGGGCAGAATGAAAAACAGTCTCTCTCAAAACTGGATATGCAGTCTGAGTAGATTTCAAAAAATATTCTTGTGCTAAGATGTATCCTGCTGCAGCACTAGTTTGACATAAACCAAAAGAAATCTCACGTTTCTGATCCACAACTAATCAGTGTTTTGAAAGCCAAATATTCTTCTTTTTTTTTTTTTTTTTATTGAACATGCTGTTGAAATATACTATTAATTCATGTAAATATTGTAATATCCTGCAGCTTTTGGTAACAGATCGGTACAGCATATAGGAACTTTCTAAACATGATGTATTTACTCAGACTAAATTCACAATAACTGAATTCAATTTCTAGGCTTGAAAAATTGATTCTGTAGTATGGGCCTATTTAATTACCGTACTTCAGCTCTAGAAAGAAGTAACTGCCTAATTTTGTTTGGTTAATACGTTAACAGTAACCAAATTGAAGCTGTGGGAATATTTAGACTTTAATTTCTCAAGGGACTGCTCCAGAAGACAGCTACCAGTGCTAACAATTTCCCCTGACACACAGGAGAGTCTGGAGACATGAGGACAAGCTGCTACCTTGAATTTTGAATTTCTCATGTAGATTGTTGTCATTAATAATCATTTACATCAGCAGTTATCAGTATAGTCTCCTAAACAGAAATGTCCTTACAGTTCATGTGGAGTTAGTATATATAGTTATCATCTGCCCAAACACAAGAGTGAAATGCACTAAATAACATTGCAGAGTAGCACTAGATGTGACCAAGATGAACCATAGAAAGAAAAGTACCTTTCTTTTTCATTATATGCAGAATTAAATGCCCTTATTAGTTAGTTTCTTTTTACCCTGGCAGAAAGGTAAAAAGAAATCTTTTTAATCTTCAAAAGATGACTGGCTTTCAGTGATTTTATTCAGACATATTTAAATAATCTGTATGTTGGTTTAAATAAGTACTTTCATAGCATAATTGTAAGAATCTGTCACATTAATTTTCCACTGTGGTCTTCTTTGCTGCTTACTTTGTGTAGAGAAACTGGGGTTTTGAAAATTGTTTGGATTTTCGTAGACCACAATCACAAATCTTATTTCCTAAGATTTTTACCTTTTTGCCGTGGAATTGACAGTCTTATAAATAGGAATAGGTTATAAATAGTAATGGATTAATGATTGATTAAATTTTGCGTTATGATTATGCAAAAGAAAAGTAGGAATGTACCATCCTCAAACAATTGGGAGGCCTGATTTCAGAAATGTGACTAAAAAGTGTATTAGTTTTATGTTTTTCCTTTTTATCTATGTGGCACCATATGTAGCGCATTACACTATCAGAAAAGGTTTCTTCTGGGCTCATAACAAGGAATTTTGCATCCCATTACTCCAGAAAGAAGCAGGGTGGAGACTTGTATGAGTTTCTACCTGTATTAAGTCACACAACGAGAAATAACTTTCAAGGACCTCAGCTAGATTAGGTCAATGCAAAATTTTACGGTTTCTAAATTTATAATTTATTTATATTTATTCAGGCTCATGTAGCATATGTATTCATCGTTTCAAAATTAAGTTCTTTCTTGGAAGAAATGCTGCGGAATTAAAAGAACAGCACTTAAGTACTACTGACTGGGATATAATAATTTTCCTGAGGATCAATACTAGACAAGAAGGGCCTCAAACAATTAACTTCATCAGCCATCAATGCCATATAATAGCATTTCTCAAGGATTGTTTTCTTAATGTGATTTAAAGTGAAAAAAATAAAAAGTTGGATAATAGAATTTTTCAAACAGAGAGGCAAAGAGAGTGTTAGAGAGCATCAGACTGGCTTGTTAGTACTTTGGGCTGCAGTTGAATGAAGTGGAAAGCTAAGTCAATCTTTTCTAGAACAATTCAAGGGAAGGAAAATAACAAATGTCAGTGTTTATGAGTTTTGCATTTGTCTGTGTTCATGCAAACAGAGTACTCACAGATAAACAGCTGATGCAGCTCAAACACCTAAATAAAAATATAATTAAATTATAGTACAAAGAGCCACTACTTCAATGAAAGTATCTTTTTGTGGTTTTGAACATTTATACTTTTTGAGCTTGCTTTCATATGGCAATAACATTTGTGACCGTGCTGATTTACATGACTGAGCTTGAGGTCCATAAATGTTCTGAGCATTTGTGACAATCAGCAGATAGCATCTAAGTGTTCTGTCTGCAGTTAGAGTTTATCAACACATAACAGTGTATCTCCATGACAGTTTTGTTTATTGGGACTGGCCATCTGAGCTTGGAGCTACTCATTATCTGGAGAGTTTGTACACATTAAAGAATAAATATACAAGTGACTAGTCCAAACAGAAGTATGGACTTGGATGATGGCTGATAAAATCATGATTGACTATTACTGGAAAATGTCTGTGTTGGGATTTGCATCTGGTATTTCATCTATAATGAAACCTAAATAATATTATTTATCAGGAGCCATACAGATCCGTTTGTTATGACAGGGAGAAGAAGAAAAGAAACATGGTATAGGTGATAATACAACATACTCCGTTGTGCTTTATTTCAAGTGACCACCCAAGAATGATTCTTAAAGCACTAGTATTGTAGGGGATTATTTTATTATTATTGTTTTTATTATTGATGCTTTTCTTAAATGTCAGAGAGGAAAGTCTAATTAAGGTCATTAGGGATTTCAAATCCTACTTAGACATTTTTGCTTAGTTAGGACATCTGTTTAAATTTAAGTGATATCTCATCATGTGTTTATATGTGTATATATATATATATATATATATGTAAATAATTCAAGTTTATATAGTTCTTTTCCAAATTCTTAGACTTTGACTGAAATCTAACTGTGGTTAATTTTATTGCAAATAATTGACTAGTAAGGAGAACTGTTATAAAGGGTAGTCTTATAAAAAATGCATGTGTTTTAATTCTTCTTTTTTTGATTCATCATTCGTATTTTAACAGAGGTCACAGCAAAATTGATCTGCTGAAAGTATTCTGATCCTAGTTTGTTTTGGTTTTTTTTAATGCTTTGATGCTGAGCACAGATGGTCAAAGGTACAAAACATGTCAGTGAAAAACTCCATGCACTGAGTACCCATTTGTTGATTTTGTCCCACACAATGCTTTATCTCAGGCACCTTTCAGTAGAAGACAGGTGCCAAAATGAAACCAAGTCCAGTGTTACATGTGTAGATCCAATATTTTTTTAGTCTAACACAATGCTTATGGTTTTGCATAGGTTTTTTTGCTCTCTGCATATGTTGCAGGAACTAGGTGTTTGTGATTGCCCAGGAAATAAGTATTAACAATATGTGAAAATTATATTTTGTATGTTTCTTGACTTAGTAAGTCAAGAAATTCTGAACATTTATTGCAACAATGAGCTTCATTCTACTTGTTTACATTCAGAGCATTCCAAAGGAAATTGGTAGGCTACTCAATGCAGTTGGAATTGCTAAATATTTGCAGGTAGAATATGAATAAGTTGATTTTCATTCTTTATTGTTTTTTCCTCAAAAATCAAAATTCTTCAGGGATTTTTTTTTTCATTTAATGGAAGGAAAATATCTGTCAAATAGGCTTTCCTCATAATTGCTACAATGTCACGTTACCATTCACTAAGTTTAAAAAAAAATAGAAAACAAATGAAACAAATGCTCTTGACTTTTCTTGGGAATGGTAAATTATAATATGATGCACCTTATCAGTTGTGTGACTAAAGCTACAGCTGTCTGGAATTCAAAATTCTGTGTTAAATGGTGAGCACTTGCGTTACTGTGTCACATTTTTGATTTTATTAGTCTGTTCTCATAAATGTTAAACATAAATTAATTCTTCTGCTCTCATTTTGTTTATCTAAAAAGGAAAGCTTAAAAAATTCAGCTAGACTACATAAGTAGTTCAGAATGTAGTTCCAAAATCTGAATTGCTTGCTTTGGATCTTACCTTCTATTTCCTCAGCAGTAAAAGACTGATCTAAATATTTCTTTGAGCTGAAGAATTAGTTTCATATTTAAGGGGAAAAAAAATTAGAAATGGAGCTCTTTGAACTGTTTTTAACAAGTAGAAAATAACATCATACGTCCCAAATACAAGGAAATTGTACTCTTTCAGGTTTCAGCATTATGCTTTAGAATCTAATTAAATTACCTTCAAATGATTTTTTTTTTGTCAATTGTATGCTGAAAGCAAAAGGCAAAGTTCTTTTTATTTGAATAATTTGTGATTTTTTTTTTTAATAATATACATGAGCTCACTAGCAATTTTCATTTTCTGCCCAGAAAGTCAGGATTTCAAATCAACGTCCTATGTTCCAGAGCACCCACGCTTCCAGAGCTTTTGCCAGCTGGAAATCTCTAAGAACAGGACTGGAAGTACTGGCTTAGCACTTTAATTTATTAATAACTTTACCTTATTTCTTTCAGATACATATGTTATTACAGACGCTTCTATTTTTTACTTCAACAGTCATATATTGTTCATCTTACTCAAGTCCTGGAGATCTCATTACTTCTGTCTTTCATTTTTTCTATTTCAACATAGTGACATCTGTATGCTATCATAGTATTAACAATATTGCACTGTTGTACAATATAGACCTTTAACAGTTACTCAGTTAAGCTGTTGAACAAATGGCTTCTTTTACAAAGCAGAGCAAATGTTCTTATTTGCTGATGTCAGTGTTCAATTTCATTTGCAAGGTGGAAGAAATAAAGGCA